ACAGAGCCTATGGAATTCTCTCTTCTCTCCCTCTCCCTCTCTGTCCCTCCTCCTCTCTCTCTCTCTCTCTCTCTCTCTGTCTCTCTCAAAATAAACTTTATAAATACATACATACATGCAACAATTCTACATTACTAAGCCAAAAAAAGAAGATATGTTACCTTCTGTCAACATGGTAACATCTAGGAGAAAGGAAGACTTCCTTTTGTGGGCCTTCACATATTTGAAGGGGCACTGGAAATTGGGGAATGGATGATGGAACAGTTCTGGGTGGAATGGGGGGAGCTAATTTACTTAGATGGAACTCCAAGGATAGTATAGATTGGATGCATGTGCAAGAAGGAGAGTAGTGTGAATTAGACATATCTTTTTATGCCAGAACTATAATATAGTTCATTTGTATTTACAGCAGAACTTTTTAAAAAGTTTTACAATGTAAATTTAATTAGCAATGTACTTTAGTTTTTAAAAGGAATCTTATTCTGTGAATTCAGTAGATGTAAGAAAACTTTAACTCAAACCAACATTTATATATCAGGTGATTCATAGGAGAGAGTAGTTTTCTATCTTAGTAAATGTGAGTAGGGCTTCATTCACAAATCATTACTTCATTACATAACAGAGAATTCATGCTGGAGAGAAACCTTATGTATACAATAACCAGAAAAATCATCTGCTGAAAAGTCAGCTTTCTGAACGTCAGCAAATTCACACATGAGAGAAATAACAGGCCAAAAGCTTATTGTTTCCCGGAAACTCATTTTGGAGAGAGAAACCTATAAAAGCAATTCCTTGAAGAACCACGTAGAAATCATCATAAAATGTCTGCTGGAAGTAGACAAAATTCATGCACTTTGTGTGAAAATATCTTCATTCAGAAACCAGTTTTCAGTATTCAGTATTTGTGCATGAGTGAAATTGTGTATTTTCTGAAAATGAGAAAGGCTTCTCATGTAAGTTTGAACCAATTGTAAATTATCCTACAGAGTTGCTGTATGTCAAAAAGTCTTTGTCCATGAGTTGTATCTTATTGGACATCATAGACAATGGAGAAGAATTAAATCATTTCTTTTTTTTTTTTTTTTTTTAATTTTTTTCTTCAACGTTTTATTTATTTTTGGGAGAGAGAGAGACAGAGCATGAACGGGGGAGGGGCAGAGAGAGAGGGAGACACAGAATCGGAAACAGGCTCCAGGCTCTGAGCCATCAGCCCAGAGCCCGACGCGGGGCTCGAACTCACGGACCGCGAGATCGTGACCTGGCTGAAATCGGACGCTTAACCGACTGCGCCACCCAGGCGCCCCTAAATCATTTCTTAATACATCAAATTTTCTTTTCAAATACATCATTTTCTTTAAAAAAATTTTTTTTAAACATTTATGCATTTTTTGAGAGACAGAGAGAGACAGAGTGTGAGTAGGGGAGGAGCAGAAAGAGAGGGAGACACAGAATCTGAAGCAGG